TTTCGCCAAGAAGCCGACGAGATAGCCGCGAGCAGGCGTCACAACATCCAACGATGGGTAGTAAGCCTACCATGTCACACATGGTTACTGACGCTGTGAAGGAGGCGTTCATGGAAGTGGACGAAGAGGCGCCCGGCGGGTGGCAGGGTTGGCGAATGTGGAATGAGATGGTAAGCGACGACACCGCATCTGCAGCAATGAGGTTCGATGGGTTTGGCCAAGGCCAGACTGAGATGAGCTGGAATGCTTATGAAGGGTCTGGTCTCTACGGTGTGGACCCCATTCAGGATGCAGCCATGTCGATGGACAACCGTGGTATGATGGATGGCAGTCAGTGGAACTTTGGAGAGTACAGATAGGATATGACTTAGCTCTAATCTTGAAAAAGTGCAGTTGTTGTAGCCTCACATTAAGACTACTGACCTTGGAATGAACGTTGGAAAAGATCTGATTGACTATCTACGCGAGCTGGCCCTTCTTGTACGGGAACTGCTCCCTGAACGACTCCGCTATTTGCGTCCTAGTCGCAACCCAAACACCCTCCTTCTCGGAGATATACTTCACAAAGTCTTGAAGCGCCTTGAACCTTCCCGGCCTACCGATGATACGGCAGTGCAGACCGATGGTCATCATCTTCGGCTCTCCAGCCTCGCCCTCCTCATACAGTACATCGAAAGAGTTCTTCATGTGCTCGTAGAACGCAGCCGTACTGCGGAAACCAGTTCCTTGGCAATGGAATTTGAAGTCGTTGCAGTCGTAGCTGTAGGGAACCATCAGACATCCCTTGGGGTTTGCGCTGCTGCGCTCTTGGGGGAGATCGGTCCAGTAGGGCAGGTCATCGGCGTAGGCGTCTGAGGCCCAAAGCAGCTCCTCGCCCATCTCTTCGTACACGAGTGGGATGAGCGCTCTGCTCTGTGGTGAGGGGCGGCCGTAGTACCATCCCTTTGGCGCATAGCCGGAAAGCTTCTTCAGCGACGTGATACCATCCCTGATATGCTGTTTCTCAGCCTCGACAGAAAGATTGGCGTGGTCAATCCAACGGTAAGCGTGAGAGGCAACATCGTGGCCCTCTTCCACACATCGAGTAACGACTTCCGGCTGTTCTTCGACGGCAGAGCCGACGGCGTAGAGGGTGAACTTCATCTTGTAGTCGTTGAAGAGCTTGAACATGCGCCACCAGCCGCGGCGGGAGCCATACTCGAATTCTGATTCGCCGCTGTAGTCGCGCTCGTTGATTCTGTGTTGGGCTGGGTACTCGCGGAGGTTGATCTCGGATACTCCGTCGCCTTTCATGACTGAGCGCTCACCACCCTGTGGTTCGTTAGTTGTGCATCTTAGATAAGATTGCATGTGAACTCACCTCCTCATAGTTGATGACGAAAGATACGGCGATCTTGGCATTGTTGGGCCACTTCAAGCCCTGAAGACCCTTCTCGCCGTAACCCTTGAAGTTACGTGGGAAGGCGTAGTCGGGGGGTGCAGCGTAAACTTCAGGCATGATGACGATGTTTGGAGAACAATAAGCCTGAGTCGATTACAGAAGATGTGATAGATTTGAAGTAGAAAACACCCAAGTCTCGCGATGCAGCATATATGTATCACCAGCGGAGCATGTCGCGGCGGCCAACCTCCAGCGCCTACCTAGCTATCGGCCATTCTCATCCGTGACGTCCTCACGTAATCGGCCATCTTCAATCCTCTGCCGTGCCTCACGATGCGATGTCATTTCTGCGGCCGGCTGTGACCCACCGCAGTGTTATCAGACGGATGAATGTTTATCGGCTTGGAAGAAACCGTATGGAGAACATGGCTTGGAGGGGGATCGTCGAGAGATAGGCCAATCTCGACTCGCCGATAACGACCGGCCTTTGTGGGGCTGTACTGACCTACCTAAGTTGGCATACCAAGGATTAAAGACCAGGTTGAGTTGGAGACGGTTCTCGAGTAAATTGATAGTGAAAGATGGGTCTTGCTGCGGGGTAATGCTGCACTCAAGTTCCGAAATCGCTGTTCTGCGTTTGATGATAGCCTTTTTCGATGGTCGCGCCTCACTCGGTTGATCCTTGGCCATTAGAACAGCGTACGAGGGCGAATGCATGCACATGCTACCCACGTTCAAGTTCAGGACTCAGAGTGCGTGGGAATTGCTCTAATCGCGGACTACTTTGATGGCTACTGGGTACGCGATCTTCATCTCCCTTTCAGGTGAAACATACTGCATACTACAAAACTCTCATGAAGTATGTCTAAGAGACTCTTAATTTTTAGATATCAACAGTGTCCGAACAAATATTTTGCAAAGTTGTCCATGAGCTCTGATGATGTGCTTTATGATCGCTCATCTTGTGTGAACGTTGCGTTCTACGTCAGCCTCCCCTGTCATTGGCCTCTTCTCATCAAAGACCTCCCCTTCCGACGCGACTTCTCGACCTTGGATGACTTGCTGCTGAGGTTCGTCCTGCGTCTCCATCGGCTGTCCTTCTTCTTCGTCCGACTTTTTCGGCGCTTTCAAGCTGGTGTTCCCAACCCAGAATGTCAGAACCAGACCGAGAGCTGAGCACACTGTGAAAAAGATGAAGATGTAATGCAGACCAAGCATGTATGTATCAAAAACCTCTTCTTTCTGGTCCAGAGAGAGGCCAAACTTATCGAGGTCGTAGGTTGAGGAAGTCAACTGGGCCATTAGGGTATCCGAAACAAAGGGCCGCTTGGACAAATCTCTGCTGAGCGTATTCGAAAGGATGACTCCTGAGATGACGAGACCAAAAGCGCCACCGATAGTGCGGATGAAGTTGCGTAAGCCAGTTGTCACAGCACGATCCTCATTGCGACTGTTGGCGTACATCCCTACAAGCGTCGGCTGGAGCGTCAGACCAATACCGGCACCCTCTATGATGAGTACAACAATTAGCACAGCAAGGCCCGTGTCTCGGTCGAATAGTAGGGTGAGGCCACTTCCAAGAGTCCAGAGGGCGAATCCGGCCAGGATGCAGTGCATGTAGCTGGCGACTCGGTTCATGTACTGACCAGATGCGATGGACGCGAATGATGTCGTGATGACTACCGGTAGGATCAAAGCACCTGAGACCAAGGGCGAGTACCTCAGGACCGATTGGAAATAGATTGGAAGGTAGAAGAAGTTGCCGAAGTACGCGAGACCGATGAGAAACGTCTGTAGATAAAGTGCCCAGCAGTGCGGCGCACGATATAATCGAAGCGGCATGATCGGTAGAGCGACAAGTTTCCATTGGTGAAGCACGAATAGTATGCCTAGCACGGCGCCGGTAACAGTGCAGGCGATGAAGAAGGGGGATCCCCATGCATACGTCACACCACCTCCTGACAAGGGGATGAGCAGGAGTAATGTAGATGCAATGTTCAGTACCATGCCGCCGTAGTCAATCTTCTTGACCTTTGCGAGGTAGTCACCAGACCGATGCTTGAGCGGTAAGAAGAACAGTATGACCATAGAGGTGGGTACAGTCATGATGGGTATTATCCAAAATACCCACCTCCAAGTCGCGCCTTCAACGATAGCACCTCCGAGAAAAGGTCCTGCACCGTTTCCCAGGGCGATGACTGCACCTAGCCATCCTACAGAAGAGTATTAGCAATGCTTGGTTTTAAGATACACAACGGTACATACCTTGATATTTACCCCGATTCTGCAACGTTGTGATATCGCTAACGATGATCATGACAAGACTGTTGATGCCGCCACCTCCAATACCAGCAATGGCACGGAGAACGAATAGCTGCACTGAAGTTCGCGCGAAACCACATCCAAGGTCTCCCAGAGCCATCAACATGAGGCTGATCAACAACAGATTCTTGCGACCAAAGATGTCCGACAAACGACCATTTATCAGTTGGAACGCCGTCGATGCGATCAGGAACGATGTACCGATCCATGATGTTGCAGTTCCGGTGTTCAGATCCACAGCGATCGCGGGTGTTGCTGTCGAGACGCTGGTTTGGTCGATGAACGAAACGAAGAGACAGACTGATAGTGCGGGGATTGCGATTCGAAGTTGTGTCGAAGTCATGGTGTTCCTTTGGCCGCCAATGGATGCTGCGTCGCTCTTGTCGTCGTCATCGTCGGTAGGCGAAGGGGACGCGCCATGAGGATTCGTTGTAGTTATGTCTGATTCGCATGGCTTGTCGTCTCTGGATGGCTTCTCAACGAGAGTATTGCCAACGCATGAATCGCTTTCTCTGATGGGGTGCGTCGATTCCATCTCGTCAATGGAGGTTTGCTGTTCCCGTATCATCGGATTCTTCCACAGTCGCTACAAGCCTCAAAAACATAGCGATTCTGCATATGTGTATATTTGGAACAAGACCAACGGTCCTAGACATCGTAGCTAGCGTTGAAGTTGGGCGTGGAGCCCCGGGACGCTGCCCGAGCGGGATTGAGCCCTGCCATGACGCCGGTCGACAGCTGCGAGATCGTCGGGAGGTGTGTTCCTCGTAGAGGAATTGCAAAATTAGCCAGTCATAGCTGAGAGGCCCACTCACCTGGCAGAAACGCTTACACGCTTCGATGGCGTAAGTGGCATTCTGGGATGAAAGCCGATGACGGCGAGGCTGCAAAAGTGGGTCGTCCTAGCAGGGCACGTGCGGGGCCATCTCATCGGGACTTTTTGAGCCGACGCATGTTCGGCCCCTGAGACCCTTCGCCGATGGCTGTTCGTATCGACATCGGACCATAACGCTGAAAACGGCATTGAAGGTATTCAGGCGAGTTCTCGGCATCACGGCTGAGACTGACAGATGCCATGTGTCAGGTGGGGTTTGCGAGGCTGCCCAGGTGGGTTGCCGATAACGACCATGGTGACCCATTACAAGGCTTGGGCAATGGCCATGATATGTGTCGTAGACACAGCCATACACGTTCTAAAGAGCAAAGAAGCATTGCCATTGTAGGCCATTACAATTCTTGCGAGACTACTTGATCAGATCCTCCCTCGTCTTCTGTTGTACCAACATCGACTGCCAAGATGACGAAACTCTTCCAACCATTGACCGTTGGAGATGTAAAGTTGGGTCATCGTGTCGCTATGGCGCCGTTGACCCGGTATCGCATGGGCGACGACTACAAGGCGACGCCCATGAACAAAGGTACCTCGAACACCGTCACTACGAAGGGCCGATATTGACCAACTATCGCAGAGTATTATGAGCAACGAGCATGTGTACCTGGGACTCTTATCGTCAGCGAAGCAACCATCATCTCCAGGAACGCCATCGGCGCCCAAAATGCTCCAGGAATTTGGCAAGAAGACCACATCGCTTCCTGGAAAGACATCACGTCAGCAGTACATGCTAAAGGATGTGCGATATACTGCCAACTCTGGCATCAAGGTCGTGCCGCAAAGACCGATGCGCTGGACGCAGAAGGCATCACGCTGGTCTCATCCAGCGCGGTACCCATCACACCTCAAGACCGAACACCAGTAGAGATGACAGAGGAGATGATTTGGGAAACCATAGCAGACTATGCGAATGCAGCCAAGAACGCCATTGCTGCGGGTTTTGACGGCGTTGAAATCCACGGTGCTAATGGATACCTGCCGGATCAGTTCCTCCAGACGACTTGTAACCAACGGACCGATAGCTGGGGAGGAAGTATTGAACAACGCGCCCGATTCCATCTCGAAGTCACCAAGGCTGTTATCGCTGCTGTTGGTGCTCAAAGAACAGCAATGCGCCTCAGCCCCTACAGCGACTTCAACGGCATGCTAATGGACGAGCCGGAGCCGACTTTCGAATACCTCACGGAAGAGCTGAAGAAACTGGGTCTGGCTTATCTCCACCTAATCGAAGCCCGTATCACTGGCAACGATGACTCCGAATGCGGAGGCCAGAAGACCGTACAATGGATGGTTGAGCAATGGGGGAATGCGAGTCCAGTCATGCTTGCAGGAGGCTTCCTACCCGACTCAGCGAAGCAGACCGTCGATGAGACGTACAAGGACTACGATGTTATCATTGCGTTCGGCAGATATTTCGTTGCCAACCCCGATCTGGTTTTCCGCGTCAAGGAGAGCGTACCACTAGTCAAGTACGACCGCTCTGTTTTCTACACTCCAAAGACACCGAAGGGGTATATCGACTACCCTCATAGTCAGCAGTACTTGACAGCGGTGGCGAAGGTTTGAGATAGATATGCTTTTGATACCAATTTTACGTGTACTTCCTCATGACTACTTTTCTCTCGATTAGTTGTGCAGCGCGAGCAAGATGTACTACACTATGCTCTCAAGTGACGTCAAACGCCATGCTGCTAATACATCGAGAGCTAGCCTGGTCGCATGATAGTCTGACAGTACGATACAGCCTGTGTACCAACACATTTCCAGATACCTTCAAGGCTCCTTGACACTTTCAACTCTTCGAATATCATCGTCAGGTATATCTGAAACTCTCGGCAGACCTTGCAGTCGTTTCCCACATGTCTTCGCGATATCTTCAATAACCTGTTGTATGCATTCCACTTCCTCGCGTGTGCAACCGACCCGCAGACACCCACGTAGATGCCATTTCGTTGAAGGAACGAGGCCTTGACACATGATCGCGGGCAAGATGACGAGCTCGGATTCGATGATGTCGAGAGTGTTGTGATCGGCCAGGAACAGACCATAAGAAATGTCGGTCGAGAGCCACGCTACATGGCGCATTAGCCTCTAGATGGAGAGCAGTGGAGAGTCGCAGGGCACTCACGTATGTCCTTGTGTGAACCGAATGATGCCCATATTTTCTCATTATCATCGCCATAAAGCGTTTCAAGAACCTCGAGACCGCGCTTGTGGTTAGCTCCATCAGCTTTCCAATCCTCACGGGTGAAACTGTGATCCTGATCTTCGGGCTTTTCTTGCTTCGCAAGAGACACGAAAGCTTCCATGACGATAGGAATGCCATTGAGAATAATGCATTTGATCATGGCTTCTCTCATGCGCCGTACGAGACGTTGTCTCTCGGCAGACGTCTGATATGACGGCTGTGAAATGATGTAGTTGTAGAGAGATCCTATCAGACCCGGCTGGCCGCTGGCGATAAGTGCCGCTGTCTGTCAGACACGCGCAATGTCAACTTCAAAGCCTCTCCCGGAAAGATCGTACTCACAGTGGAAAGGTACCATCCATCCTTCCTCCATCTTTCCGGGAACCGCGATTCGGTATCTCTGAACAGACGGTTGGTGTCGATGGAAGAGTCCAGTCTACCATAAACGGTAAGGGTAGGCATGTACTGGAGTATGGTAGATAGCTGGGAGCAGAACCTAGCAATAGGCTGGAGAGCGGTTGCGGCGGCACACATCGCGCACGTCGTGATAACGGGGGGATTGACAAGACACCAGTCACCAGGACAAATGGACGTGAGAGGCGGATGTGGGATAGCACTTGCTGGTAAGCGTGACTAAGAGGAGAGGGTTCAATTATGAAGACCTGCTTCAAAGCCCCGAAGTAAAACAACCGAAACAAAATATTCGCAGTATGATGGCAAAGGATCACGGGCAAGCTATATGTCAGGGAAATAGAGTTCTTGGCTAACAAACAGACGGTATTGAATGCGAAGAAATAGCAGCGTAACCTTGGAACAGTGTATATTTTAGCCTAATGGCAAGTAAGATTCATGTAAGAATTGATGTAAGACGATTACTGGCGTCGTACATCAAACTTCAAGCAAGTGACATCGGTGTACGAAATGTAGTAAGACATTGATTGACTTCGTGCAATCAATCTTTGGGCACCTCACGTGCACGTACCTGCCCCGTAGCATGGTCCGGACCCAGGGGCCTCTTCCGGAAGAAGTCTTGAAGTAGAGACCGTCTCCTGTACGCAGATACTGGCACAGATGGTTGGCGACCCAGTAGACAGGGTTGGTGGGGAAGTCTGGGGTTGTCATGTTGATGGGACGCGGCCCAAGCGACTAGCGCGACCGGAGCGGAGAAACAAGCAGTGGAGGTGGGATGCGACGACTGCCATCCCACTAGGTGGGCGCGCAATTCACTCCGCAACCGCGTCCCGACCCGAGCTTGCGCCTGATCGCACCGCCCCACCCCGCCGGTGGTCGCAGCCTACAAACAAGACACACGAACGCCCTAACCCCTGCGGACATCGTCGCCGAGAGCAAGCGCAAACATGGACGACTTCAACAGCGACACGGACAGCGACTACACAAGCTACTGGCGAGACTGGGTGAGTACCTGAACTCCATCCATTACCAACACCGGTATTCTTTGATCGCTGGTCATGTCTCTACAAACCTTGGGGGCGTCGGGGTGGAACTATAGGTACCTCATGGCGTGGTATGGCCTGCCAGCCCTTCATTGCAGGTCGCATCTGACCATGCGCCAGCGGTGACTGCGGCGAAGACGGCTACATCTCCACGCTGAGGTGCCCCCATTCATTCGAGGTGGATGAAGACTACACTATCTTCTCGGCCAAATGGGGCCCGCTCATGCTCATGCAGAGCGAGTGGTGGTCCGACTGGTGGGAAGATCACGACAGCGTAGAAGACAAGATGCAGCTATTTATCTCAACGCAAGCTAACAAACAAGTAGTTCATATCCTCGCGAGGAAACGAATACTTCTGCGAGATTGACGAAGAATACCTCACCGATCGCTTCAACCTAACGGGCCTGAACACCGAAGTTCAGTACTACCAATATGCACTCGATCTCGTCACAGACGTGTTCGACTTCGACTGCGACGATGATATGCGGGAACAGATTGAGAAGTCGGCACGGCATCTCTACGGACTCGTCCACGCACGATACATCGTCACCACCAGGGGCCTTGCCAAGATGGTACGTCAGGCGCTCATATCCTATGCCTCGCGCCCACCACTAACACACCACCCAGCTTGAAAAGTTCAAGAAGTCAGACTTTGGCAAATGCCCCCGCGTAATGTGCGAATCGCAACCCCTCCTCCCCATGGGTCAATCCGACGTCCCCAACGCCTCCCCCGTAAAACTCTACTGCGCCCGCTGCGAAGACCTCTACAACCCCAAATCCTCCCGCCACGCCGTAATCGACGGCGCCTACTTCGGCACGTCCTTCCACAACATCCTCTTCCAAGTCTACCCTGCGATGCTGCCACCGAAATCGCAACGGCGGTACGAGCCCCGTGTTTTCGGCTTCAAAGTACACTCTGCAGCAGCGCTGGCGCGATGGCAGGCAGACAAAAAGGATGAGATGAAAGATAGGCTCAAGACGCTTAAGATGGAGACTGGGTTTGAGGAAGAAGATGAGGATCTGGAAGATGATGAGGACGACGATGATATGGAGACTCAGGAAGGCGTTGAGGGGGCCGTCGTGCAGCTGTGACAAATGGGCCTATAATGGCCGTTTCACTATTGTACAGATGGATGGGTGAGGGGTGGGAAGCATGTTTAGGAAGATGGAGGCACGAGTAGTTTATAGCATCCGAGAGGAACTAGCATGGGTTTGGCGATAGGCGTCATGGCTGGGTGTTAAAGCAGTATCTGATATACCAAACGACGATCAAACAATGCAGATTATGACTTGCATGATACCAGAGAGAGCCGAGATCTCACGCGTACACTGGCAGGATTGATATGCAGTTGCAACGAATGCTCGTACTGAAGAACTACTAAAAGAGAGGGGGTATCTATCTGACTTTCCTACACATCCCATCCGCCTCCTGTCCAGTGAATACCCGCAGAAACCTAACCCGGGATATCACAGAAAGGCAGCGTCGCCGAAAGGTGCCAAAAGAAAGAAGAAGATAGATCGAAGGAAGCAATGAAGAAGATAAAAGTAGTTCTCATGAAGTAAAGTAAGTAAAGTAGACAAGAAAAGATCGAGAGAACGAATCAAAAAGCGCCACGCAATGCTAATCAAGCAAGAGATCCAAACCACGCTGTCGCTTCGCTGTCATCATCCCAAAATCCCAAATAGGTGCCAAAACATTCCAAAACATATACACATCCAAGATAATCTTTCGTAAAACCCATATTACATCGTAAACCAAAAGTCCTTCGTTGGCCAAAAAGGTTGTGAGCAAGAAGAAGAAGAAGAGAAGAGAGGGCGCGGCTTAAAACATCTTCTTAAACCAGCTTCCCCGCTTGACAGCCGGGGCACCGCCATCAACAGCCGGTCTGCCATCCCAGGTGCGCACAGGCGGCTCTTCATACGCAGGCACGTAGCTTGTGCGGCGGGACGCCCTCTTCCGCTCTCTGTCGTCATCAACCGTCTTCATGCCTTCGTAGTGTGTAGCCCGGCGACTGTGCTTGTGCGTCCTATCGCGGTCTCGTTCCTTGTCCTCTGCCTTGCGGCGCTCAGCACGTTCTTTATCGCGCTTGGGGCCCTTGCGGCCGGCGATGCGCAGCCGGATGTCTTCGTCTTGGGAGAAGGTTTCCTCGTCTTCCTCGGGGCTCTCGCGCGCGCCGGGGGCGGGGTCGAGGACGGTTTCGGAGATGGGGGGAGGGAGGGGTGGCTCGTTGGAGAGGGATTCCACCCACGACGAGGTCTTGTCGCCGCTCTTGTTGTTGCTGTACGGCATGTTTTCTTCCTCGTCGCGGGCCTGGCGCGAACTGCGGTGTTTGCGGGCCCCGCCGTTGCGCTCGTCGAAGTAGTCGGTGATGGGCTCGCCGCTGGCTGCGACGGGGTATTCGGAGTTGCGTCTGGCGGCACGGCGCTCTTCGTGACGACGGCGACGTTCTGCGTCTTCGTCCACGTGCACTGTTCGACGGCGTTCGGTCTTTGGGCGGGGCTCTTCGCGGTCCTTGTCTTTGCGGCGCGAAGAACGCTTCTCGCGCTCACGTTCGTCGGAGGGCGGTTTGCGCTCGCCTCGTGCCTTCTTCCGCTCCTCCTTCTCGGCCATGCGACGCAGTTGTTCCTCGGCCTCCTGGTTGCGACGCTCCAGCTCAGCCATCTGACGGGCCTTCTTCTCCGCAAGAGTCGCACGCTCGTTTTCGCGCTCACGTTCGCGACGGCGCTCTGCCTTGGCCTCTGCCTCTTCAAGCTCAGCGCGCCGGGCTCCTTTGTCTCCATCGCGTTTGGATCTACGCTCAGCTCGTCGAGCCTCTCGCTCAGCATCGTAGTCCTCAGGGGTGCCATTTGCGCCTGACATCATAACGTCTTCAGGAGGCGGATGGCGCAGACTGCGGCGCTCGTGTCGCAGCCGCTTCGCCTCA